TACATAAAAACATATAGATGTGACATACAAGCCATGGCAAAGCCTGTTCAAGAAATTGCTATTATGAGTCAAATGGCAGCAACATCTACCATGGGGGGATTGTCGACTGGCAACCACAGGAGACAGAATGAGAGAAAGAGGCAATTTTTTACGTTCATGCATCAAGGTCATAAGGTTTGTAACTATGAGTGACACAACACAAAATTAATCGTTTTTCAACTAGATATGTAGAGTAACATTTCTGAAGCTACATGCATGTGGCAAAAGCAGGTTTGAGGAAATCATGAAAAACTACAGAATGAATGGATTAATACCAAGGTATGAGACTTACAAATTCAATGTTATGTACTTAACTTTATTAGAGTTCACGGAAATGCTGGAAAGACACCAAACCATGCTTTGACTTATAATGATATTCTCCGGGTTGTTGCTTTCATCAGAAATTACGCTGAAGTCCATGGAATCAGTCTTCCTGGAAGAATACCTGGAATGAAAAGTTACGAGAATAAGAAGTTCTTACCATGCAGTACATCTAAAAGGCAGGTATACTTAGAGTATGCGGAATCATGTGAAGGGCTTCATGTCAAAGCATGTGCTGAAACAACATTCAACATGTTGTGGCGACCCTACCTGCCTTATATTGAAAAAATGAAGCCTATGTCTGACTTGTGTGCCACTTGTAAAGAGATAAGTGGACTGATTATAAGAAGTGCTAACATGCAATCAGATGAAAGGATAACTGAGGTAAGTCAGTATTGTAATAACACAAGTATTATTTAGAATTTTCAGGCAATGCAAAAGGCACTAGATCACAGAAGTCTTGTTAAAAAGGAAAGGGAGTACTATAAGGATGTATTAAAAGAGGCACAATTATTGTTAAAAGGGCTGTACACTGATGCAGGAAACAATTACAATCCCCCACTAACAATGCCACTTGCTATGTTAAATATTGTAGCACATTATAGCTTCGATTATGCTCAACAGGTAACATTTTATGATAATTATGAAAGTGTATCTAGCTCACTTACTTTTTTAAAGGTTCACTATCCTTCAAGTCCACTACAAGCAGGTCCAATTTATTTTCTTACTCCCAGGAAATGTGGCATATTTGGTGTGTGCTGTGAAGCTATCCCTCAGCAGGTTAATTTCTTGATCGATGAATCATTCGACACTGGTAAAGGGGCAAATCCTGTCATAAGCATGGTACATTTTTATTTGAAGAATCATGGCCTCAACTCAGTCAGTATCCATTTCAATGCTGACAACTGCACAGGGCAAAATAAAAATAATACAGTTATTCAAGTAAGTATATTACATGCACAATAATGAACATTTTAAATGTAATTTTTATTTATTTTAGTACCTCTTATGGAGAGTCATGACAGGACTCAATGCGTCCATTTCAATATCTTTTCTGCCAGTTGGACACACAAAATTTTCTCCTGACTGGTGCTTCGAACTATTAAAGCAAAAATTCCGTAAAGCAGAGGTGGACTCATTGGATGACTTCATTCAAGTTGTAGAACAATCATCTGCTGTGAACAAAACCCAACCAGTAGGAAGTAGCAATGGTGAACTCATTGTAGAAACACTTGACTGGTGTAGTTACTTTGCTACATTATTCAAGAAAATAAAAGGCATCACAGGCTTTCAACACTTTGTTGTAAATGCGACCTCACCTGGTGTAGTTGCAGCCAGACAAGCTGTAGATGGCCCAGTCACACAATTCAATTTGCTGAAGGAGGACGTTCAAATAATGGAAGATGAACTACCTAATATATTACCACCAAAGGGTATGTCAACTGAAAGGAAATGGTACCTTTACGAAAAGATAAGACCGTTTTGCAGATACCAATGTAAAGATGTAACCTGCCCACTTCCTGATACACCTCGACTAACAGGATCATCTCGACAATCAACTCCAGGTGTGGATGATCCACCAGACCTCGCAATGGAGATTGAAGTACCACATTCTCCAAGGCAATCTCTAGAACCACCTGCAACACAAAGAAAATGTGGTAATTGTGGTCAATTTGGTCATAATAGAAGAACTTGTCCATGTAATCAGTAAATGAATAACAGAAATGAGTTTGTGTAATGCACATACTATTGATCCCCTTTCAACAGGAGAGGAACTAGTTTGTCTACAACAAACAGACTATTGATCCCCTGAAACAGGAGTGGAACTAGTTTGAATGCCAAATATTCAAACTATTGATCCCCTAAAGGAGAGGAACTTGTTTGTAACGCTAAGACATACAAACTATGGATCCCCTTTTTTAAAACAAAGGTGTGGAACTAGTATGTGCGTGAGACGTCAACATAAACACAAACACTCATTTTTGTTTAAAACTTACTAACTCAAAAGAGAAGGCCCGAGAGAAAGTTAGTCACGAAGTTATCATGCAGGTGATTTGTGTTTATCTGTACAGGTGAGAGGACTGATGATAAAAATGTGTGGGAGGAGAATACCGAAATAGAAGTTATTGCGTCATTCACAGCCAATCAAAGAACACCAAGTGTCACCTGTGACCTTTAGGATATAAAATAAGACACCTGAAACTGTAAGTTCAAAATCAAAAAGTAATGGCTGCCCCAATAGAGGATGTCCTCATTGAGGTCCATCCATCTGATGGTAAGTTGGGAATGTGTAACCCTATAGTGATAACTATAATGCCTTTTGTTTTTGGTAGATGAACTTGGTAAGTTGTTGGTACATGTATGTTTGTGTTGTACATTAAAAGCAAAAAATAATTGTATTTATAGCAGAAAAAGATGAAGTAAGGGTGAAAGAGACGAAAGGAGACAGAGGAGAGAGGACAGAGGAGAAGGGGGACAGAGACAAAGAGGAGGCTGGAGATAGTCAAAAGGACAATGGTAAGAATAAAAGGTGAAACATACAACTATACATGACATTGTTTTTAATAGAATCAAACGGCTTAAGTAAGTTTATTTACATGTGTAATTGTGTGATAATTTTTGTTGTGAAGTAGCTATGAGAAGCTAAAAAGTAATTTTGCATTCAATTTTAGTTAGTTCTATTTACAACAAATAGGCAAGAAGAAAGAAGGAAGGCCCTTAGGTAATTAAACAATAGTTGAATTACTTGTACTTTAAATTCACATTTCTTAACTAAAGACTTGGAACAGTTCAGGCCTGCTCTCCGAAGTAAACTTAATTTTAAGTGTAAATTAAAGGCTTTATGCCATTGTAATTTAGGGCAGTTGGAACTCATTGAAGATGGCAGGAGGGAGAGGATGGGGAGTAGTGAGGAGATGGGAGAAGAAACAGAGACAGGAGAAGAGACAGAGACAGGCGAGGAGACAGGGACAGGAGAAGAGACTGGGACAGGGACAGAGAGAGACAAAGGAAAAAAATTTAAAGTATCAAAAGAGCATTATTGATCACTAGAATTTTTCCTTTGCTTAGAAAAAGCGAAGGCAACACAGAGGAGGGTGGGGTAAATGTGGAAAGCGTGGAAGAGGAGGGAAGGGAGGAGGCCAAGGAGGGAGGGGAGGAGGCCAAGGAGGTAGAGGGGGAGGCCAAGGAGGAACAGGAGGAGCCCCTCGTCCAACAGTAAGGAAAGGAACATAATGAAACATAAGAATAACAATAATCTTTTATAGGATTCATCAGCAAGTGCTAAAACTATAAATTATTTTAATGTTAAATGTAGGAACCTTAATTATAGTTCTAAATAAAATCTAAATAAAAATATTACCTGTAAACTCAAGCAGAAGCAATGTCCGGATGTAAATGACCCAGATGATGTTATTACAGTTCACAAAAAGGACTTTATTGGCACTAGAACACATAGCAATAACTCTACAACTTTTGTAATGAAATAACTTACTTGTATTTGATGTCTCAATGCATGGCTGGGCTTTAGATCACTCTTAAGATGTCCAAGAAGCAAGAAAAGTAAGTTAAAATGCTGTCAAGTGCTGCTTTCTTCTTTACCCGTTTATTAATTGATTTGGGTGTGGTTTACGTGGTGGGCGTGGTGACATTTACTACGTCAACAGGCGTGACACGGAAACTTTGAAAATAACTTAAAATGCCTTTTTCTCTGTACTTGTATTCCAGAGCAATCGTCCAAACAGCGTCCCTAACTGCAAAGTTTTATTGCGCATTGTCATAAATGGGATATCGCTGGAAAGGAAATTTTTTTCTCTATCTGTAAGTACCAAAAACTGATTTTACCCAAATCCCGCAGATAGCCTGGTTTTCTCATATCGGGTCACAAATATGCCATGCCACCATCAGCAAGGGAAGAATCAATAATATCTATTGTTAAATGAGCATTTCTAGCAACATAAAAGCGTCTTAAAAGGCGTCTCAACAAAGGATAATGAACAGAAGCATTGCGTAAAATATGCAGCATGCTTTTACAATCAGTATCAATACTACTACTCACAATAGGATGGCTGTCTGTAGAGTGCCGTTTGAGGGTAGGCTTTCTCTTATTAGTATACATTCTATTGTTATCATCAAAATTGTCATCTTTAAAATCACTATCATTGTTACACTCTTATACTATATCAACACATGACACATAAACAATCCCTGCTACATAACAGATGCCATTTGTATCAACAGAGATTGCAATTGGACTATCTAATTTGCTATCAGAATTATCATTAGGATACAAATACGCTGATTCAAAAAAATAAGGTTCACTAAGTTTTGTGAGACATTGCTGACCAAAATCACTAAAACAATTGAACTTCAATTTCCTAATGCTATTTGATGCAAACAGCGATACGCTGACTTTGTGGGATCTGTTTTTAAAAATTGATTCTAACAATAATTATACTTGATGCAGCATTACATTTACTGTGATATGATATGTTCTCAAAATCTACACCTTTCATACTTGATGGCAATAAATTATCAACTATTGTCAGGGCTGTAATATAATGCATCAATAATTTTAGTAAATAATATTCCTTTCCTTCACTATTTGATGTAGGTAATGAGTAAGTACAACGTAATCTATACAATATTTGACCATTTTGACGATAATAATAATCTTTTCTTAGATGCTTATTTTCTTTATTGTTATCAAAAAATTAATATCTCAAAACCTTATCCTTTGTTGCACCTTATATTGTCACTATTTTCAAATGCCATTACAAAGTTTTTAGTCTTTGTGGGTCTGGATTTTGTTGATAACATTTTTTAGATATTATTTTGTTTAAGGGGTTTTGGGAATCTATTTTTTGTGAATACTCTTTTTTTCATATTTTTTTTATCTTTGTTTTTGTTATACCAATTTATAAACTTTTGCATAACATAACTTGGGTTCAATGCATTGTACTTTTTTGAATTATGCAAGCATATATCTTTCACTGATTTTATATACAATTCATGCTTTGCTTTTGACCCTGTTACATTGCCTTATATAGTATGCTATGGCATTTCATCTATTTCTACCTTTAAAGCCTTCCAGTTGTTTTG